GCGCCGAGGCTGTCGTAGCAAGAAGGTGACTCATTATGTCTAACTTTCATATTAGACCAATGCTCCCTTCCTCCGCTTCAACAGAGCCTAGCAGTCATGTTAAAGGCAATCATTATACCAGCGTATGATAAGGAGCAGGGTAAAAAAAAACAACAGAAGAAAATGGGAAAGAAGGTTAAGATTTCAAAATCGGTGCAAAGGTACTACAAAAGCTTGTGCGAAATCAATGCGAGGAAAAGTGGTGCAACTTGGAAGTAGTACGTTAGAATGAGATAAAACAAAGGATGTTTCTACCCTGTGAGAACTTATAAAATTACAAAGAAGTTAGTACATAACCAATAGCTATGAGTAGTTATCATTACCAAAATTACTTTGTTCATATTGCTAAGTGCATAACTAAGATGATGCACACACCATAAAATCACATTACCACCACGTCACATTTCTAAAAGTGTCAGTATACACCAAAATATGTGTACTGTAAAAAATAGTTTTACTTGTATGCACAATCTATTATTATATGCAGAATATTAGCAACATTAAATAAAGTTAAGTGACCAATTTTAATCATTCTATATTTTCTTTTAATATTTTTCATGTTATCAGTTGTTAGTGCTCACATTTAGTGAGATAAAAGAAAGAAACAAAGAAAGAAAGAAAACACAATAGCCATAATATGTTTATTTATTATTTACCTATCTTAGGTTACTATGACAATAAGAATAACGACAACATGAAAGACGGCCCTACACATCGACTATTTTATTAAACAATCAATATAAACAACAAGAAAAATGTCCATTAACATTATTATTATTATTACTATATTAAACGTGTTTTACAAATCTATACAATTTCTAATTGATGATGATAAAATCCCGTAACCAATCAAATCCCTGCAAACCGATACTTGAATAGTAATCTGATGCACACTGGCGAAAGGTTTTATTCAGATAGGTAAGCAGGTAGTTACCTGAGTTCTAGTAGGATGTTGTGATCAGTGGAGTACAGCGGGTCGGAGTTTGAGGACAAATACAGGACAATTCATAGATTGGCCATTGTATCGACTTCCAGTGACCTAATGGTCTATGAGCTCTCCTCATAGTCGGAAGGTTCTCGGTTTGAACCATTGAAGAGTCTTTAACTAGAACGAAACAGCCGCCTAGTACTGCTAAATTTTCTAGTGGTTCTCTAAATAATGTAAACTCATGATGAAACTCTATAATTTCTTTTAGCTCCATAATAATGACAATAATGTTAACGCAATAATCACTTCAGAACTCCAACCACCAACTCCACTCCAACTCCCACTTACAACCACCTCTGCTAGACAAGTCTTATACACTGAGTTAACTAGGCAGAAGTGTTCTACAGAGAAGTGGAAGGATGAATGTAAACAAACGTCTGTGCTTACGAACAGACTGGTGAACATGACAGGTCTACCTACCTAGGAGAGTTGAAAAAATTCCTTATTCCAAACCTATGGTATAAATGGGCTGCAGAATCTGAAGGGATGGAATGGTGTATGGAACGGCTTCGGTCACTGGGAATTACGGAAACGCTTAAGAGAACCATCGAGTGGCACCAGACAACTCCTTAAGTAGAAGTAGAATAGGAAATTATTTGAGAAGGAAATGAACGCTTATCTTAGCAATTTTGGGAGCAGCCAAAAATGACTGAAAAGAACACAGGTGAAGCCCTGCGTTTCACTTAGAACCCAAAGGAATAATAATAATAATTTGCCTTCTAAAATAATATTCTAAATATTAGTACACTAGTATACCGTAAAGATAATCATCATGCGCCATCTTATATCAAAATTAAAGATGTTGAAACCACTATCTAAAGTTAAACAGAACTTGTAATCAAAACATTACCATGCATTGAGCTGATAAAACAAAAATTTTCGAAGGAAGGAAAGGCAAATCATGTGCTGTTCAAACTGCTACTCTACGCATCATCATCGAAAAGACAGTGCATAGAACGGCAGTCACACCTCTACCTCAACTTCACTAACTTCGGAAAAGCATACGACAGACAGTGTTGACCGAGACGTAATTTAGGAACTACTTCAACACAACAGAGTAAAGTACTCCAATTCTCTATCAACATCATTCAACAGCTGACTATACGACAGTGTCATATGTCAGGTGATCCACAACATAAAACTCAGCGAGGCGTTTGAAGTGAATACAGGAGTAAGACAAGACTGTCTACTAGTGTGGTGAGAGCAGGCTGCTAGCCGATTGGTTGGCACTAATCTACGTTAAGGTCTAGGTCACTAATATGGGCCGTGAGAAAATATGAACAAGCCTGAGTCAACAACCAATCACAGCAAAGTTAACGTGGCAGAATATGATTCGCAGAGAGAACTCTATTTGTCAAGGAATCCCGAAACAACCAATCAGAAGCCTGCGTTTGTCTACCTAAAAAACCAATCAGATGACTGCGCTTGTCTATAATAATGTAGTTGAAAGATGTATAAATACGTGTTGATTTTCATAATAAAACGATCTGTTGCCTGGCCCTTGTCTTCTGTTGTTACATTTGGTGTCGCTGCCTACCGACAAATGGAAAGCCTATGCCCTGCTGTTTTTGATGGAGACATATGGATCTTCGGGCAGGACTTCAAGGCTTCTGCGCAGTTGAGTGGCGTTCAAGATCTGTCAGCGATGGAGCTGCTACTTGGGACGCTGCTGGGAGGTCGGGTGAAAGCAGCATATGAAAGTGTGAGCCGAAGTATGGACGAATGTTCGACAGGGTCAGGCAAACAGTTTCCAAAGTGGGAAGGACCATATATGGTCACTTCGAGATGGGGTTACGCAGACACAGTCGCATTGGCGAACAATAAGAGGCGCGCGAACGTCAGCGAGCTCCAGAAATGGATACAGCGAGACAAGCCAACGATGACGCCTGCACCAAGTAGATCAAGCCGACTTCGGTCGCACGTATTTGACGGGGGACGAGTGTGGTGAGAGCAGGCTGCTAGCCGATTGGTTGGCACTAATCTACGTTAAGGTCTAGGTCACTAATATGGGCCGTGAGAAAATATGAACAAGCCTGAGTCAACAACCAATCACAGCAAAGTTAACGTGGCAGAATATGATTCGCAGAGAGAACTCTATTTGTCAAGGAATCCCGAAACAACCAATCAGAAGCCTGCGTTTGTCTACCTAAAAAACCAATCAGATGACTGCGCTTGTCTATAATAATGTAGTTGAAAGATGTATAAATACGTGTTGATTTTCATAATAAAACGATCTGTTGCCTGGCCCTTGTCTTCTGTTGTTACACTAGCACTAGTGATATTCCTAATTGTGATGTATTGGGATGTATGAGGAAAACTGTGAAGAGCGAGATGAGAGGAATACACTGAACCGATAAGGTTCTAGGAGATCTGGATTACTTATAGACAATCACAGGGCCAGTTAAGGGGGATCACAGAGAACAGGCTGAAGTGGAGATGTGCTGTTGAATCCAAGGGTAAATATGTGATATTATTTAAGAGTTCGTAAGATATACAAGAGTTGTGACGAGTTAAAAGTAAACAAACGAAAATCAAGTTGGTAGAAAACACCCAAGTCATTGCCACGATAGTAGGAGTGGATGAATAATTCTCATTTGTATGCTCTCTATCTGAATGCACAAGGGACGGAAGGGTATTGCCTTTAGCGGGTTGTTCTTCACATTAGATAGACTACTTTGAAGAAGGAATTTGTTGAAATCGAATGATTATAAGTCATTCATTAAGTTATTTATCTTATTACGTAACTCTAATACTCCAATTAAAATCCTCTTATGTATTGATTAATATTATCAACTATGATTATAACACTTCCGGTGGACACTAACTAGTGTCATGCGTCTAGTGCTTTGTTTTTTGCTGTAGACTGAAACCTATCAGTCAAGTATACAATGTGGCCGAGATGCCATTAGGTGGCCCACCATTACGGTGCACTCAGAATTATTACTGTTATTAAATGGTTGGTGAAAATCGACAAGAAGACTTGGACTTAGTTTCCAAACCAAAATATCCAATACTATCCTACAAGAGGTCGACAGTGATCCCGAATAACTGCACAGTGAACAGTTGCACAGTCTCCGAATGCAACACTCACTGAGTAACCCAGGCTCCAATCTCACAAGGGAAATTCAATCCTTGAAGATTGATTTTCTATAGATGGTTTGGAAGGTTTAGTTATGTTTTTACGAGTTGATCACGGATTAATATCAGTTAGAGAACCATTAAAAAACAGCCACAAGGAGTACACTACTGGACGCCTTGTCTTGTAACCGGAAGGTCCTGAGTTCAAACTCCAGTGGGTGCATACTGCCAATGATTCCAAAACTAGGATGAAACCGCTGTCCAGTACTCCCTGTGGCTGGTTTCCAATGGTCCTCTAACTTTTATCAAGCCGTAATCAACTCGTAAAAAAAAACTAATCCTTACAAAATAATTATAGAAAATTAGTCTGATGCTCGCTAGTGACTTAATAAAAGACGGAGTTTCCTGGAGTTCTACTGAGAAGTCGTGACCAGTGATGTCCATCCAGATGTCCAGTGTGAGGATGTCCCACAGATGTCCCACTGATGAAATTGGTTAGTGCCAGTCGCGCTAAAATCAAAAATTGGTAGAAGTTAGAATTCATAGGCTGGCAGCCATTGAATCGGGTCCTCGTGGCTGAATAGTATACGAGCCAGCTTGCCTTGTCACCCGAAAGTCCTGGATACGAACCCCCTGTGAGGCGGGTACTTACTGCCGATGATTCCTGAACTAGGATGAAACAGATATCCAGTACTCCCTGGTTGTCTAACTGATAAACTCGTAATATGATAATGACAACTCATCACTATCCTATTTCGTGGGAAAAAATGTGTATAAAAAATGCGATTGTACAGCTTAAGCGGGAAATGAATTCAACGCATAAAGAGCCCCTTCACTGAACTACACTCAGCATAAGGAACCAATTACATAACTAAAAAAGAACCGTCTAACTTACATGCATTGACATTTAATTCAGGATTAGGTAATACTTGATTTTCTGTGTCTTTTCGTTGTTGCTGTAGTGACGGTGATGGTTCTTCATCAACTAGAGATTTCTTCGAATCCTCCTTCTTCTCCCCCTCTTCTTTCTCATTGTCGTCATCTTTCACTTCAACACGATTTAACATACCAACTAGAAGATCTAATTCAGCAGATCTTTTTTTCTTTTCAATGGTATTCAATAGACACTGATCATTATTTGATGGTTGTTTATTTATATGTGATAAGAATCCTTCAGCATTAAATGATTTCTCCGCGTCTTCACCTTCATCATCGTAATTTAATTGACCGCCCTGTTGTAGCATTACACTGCCTTTTTGTGGCTTCTTATTCATTGCCGTGGAAAATGATAACCATTCAGGTGAACTATCCCCATCACTATAACTTGAGTTACAGCCGATGCCGCCACCACCCAATGCTTGACATAACACACTACGATTTCTCCATGGTGAACGGATCAACGGTGATGTTGAAGCGACTGTCGCTGAAATCATCGTTGTTGTTTGCTGAAGTTTTGTAAAAGATTTATTCAGCATAACAGCGGATGATGATACATTGAATGATGAAGTCAATAAATTATTATTCGTAGATGCACTAGTTGTGACTTCTGTAAATGATTGAATAGCATTTGAAGAAGTTGAGGTAGTTGTAGGAGGAAGAGGAGGAGGAGTAGTCGTAGTTGCAGTGTCTGCAGTCTTAGTAGGAGTGGTTGTTCCCGTTGGATCAGTAGTATCATTAGTCTCAATAACATCATTATTTTCATTAGACATTTGTAAAGGTGATACAACTTGAGTTGTTTGTGTTGGTGTATTATTAGCTGCACGGATATAATCTTCACAGAATAAAGGACTAATTAAATGTCCTGTTCTATTGAAACGTGATGAGGACGCTGATGACTTATCAGTGTCAACAGATTGTGGAGTGATGACACTAGTGATAGAAAAAAGATAAATAAAAAAAACAACGGAAGATAAATATAAAGTACTTTTTCGAAAAAAAACAAGCAACAACAGCAGTTTCGTCCTAGTTAGAAACTCTTCATCGGAAGTGAACACACCCACAACATCAAACACCGAGGGTCGAACCTAGAACCTTCAAGGTACCAAAAGAAATCCCGCTGACTATTGAGCCATTTGACTAGAGCCTGAAAAATGTAGTAACGTATCTGACAATACCATTGGGTGACACGAGTTCGAATTCTACGGGGGGGGGATATGAGTTCCTCAAGGCCTGCAGAAACGCCATGCTGATGAGAGTTGACACGTACGAAATCAACCATTTATTAATAATGGGGTCAGGATAGCGAGGGTGGATTGGGGCTGAGTATAATCATTAGTAATAAAATTGAATTGAAAGCAGACTTAGTGAATTTATGCTAAAGGTGTACCTACTCCATCCGAGCTCAGAAGAAAGGATGTGTGAATATGGTTGTGAGATATATAGGCATTGAAAGTGGAATATATGAAAAGGTTAAGTATTTTTATCCACAGATGTTTGCGTTCTAACTCCCGCTTTGAGTGGTATATTAAGATAAGAAATACTGAGGTTAAGCGTATACTGCAAGACAGGCATGGACGCGTGTTGCATATGCCTAGGCACTACTTTCCTCGTCAGTCAAGCAATGTTAGCTAACATAGTATTCTTATTATTATTTCCTTTAATTCAGCCTCAGATGCACGTCTCCATTACGTTCGGTTCTCTGCTAGAGTTTTCACCCGGCTCCAAGTCTGCCCACATGATTTCATCTCCTTCTTCACATCACCTCACCAATGTCACTCTCGCACTGACGACCAACTCGCCGCTTCCGTTTCGGCCTGGTTCCACTCGAGCAATGGCGTGTCTAGTGATGTCACTTGATGGTTTCCTCAGAGTATGGCCAATCCATCTCCATTTCTTCCTGCCTATTTGTTTCACAATCGGTTCCTGGTTGGTTCGCTCATTGCCAGAGATCCCCATTGCTGATCTTTTCTGGTCATCTGATCTTGAACGAAGACAGCTGTTGATGAAGGTCTGAAGTTTGTTGGAGGTGCACTTCATTACGCGCCAAGTCTCTGATCCGTATAGTAAGTGGCACTGACTCCACATTGGAGTTGAAAATCCGGATCTTGGTTTCATTTTCATGCTGAGTGCTGTTGACCTCCACACAGACTCGAGAGTAATGAAAGCTTGTCTTGCTTTCCCGATCCTCATTACTTTGATATCCTCGTCAGTTCCGTCCGCCTGTGGTTGAAACGATGCTTCCCAGGTAGGTAGAGGAGGTTGTTTCTTCCAGGTTCTTCCCATTTATGCTGGTTGTGGTTGTTTCTAACATAATACTAGGTTGGTCAAATTAAACATGACATAGTATCAATCCGTGAAGTATTTGAGCCATGCGAACTATCTGATTAGGAAGGTTGAAATGCTCAGAACTAATCGTTGGTGTTCCCAGAGGCAAAGATGTATCCATCGTGTTATGAACTCCTATTTACATTAAATTCTTATTATTCTTCATGTAATCACATTTTCTGTATCCATTTATAAAAAATTTTACTGCATTTTTTCTTCTGCCTTTATGTACGTTTTAAAGGGGACGGGGCGAAATGACAACATGAGCTAAGGAACTTGTGTGAAAAGTCTACATTGAAAGTGAAGTTAAATTTAAAGCGTCTTTGGATTAAAAGTAATCTCTTAGTGTACGTCCTGTCCCCCTTCATTTCTTTGCATTCCGAGGGGAAAGAAGAGCTTCAAATTTTAGTCTTAACGTTTCACTACAGATAATGTTTTCTTCACAGAGTAGGGTTGCGGTAATGTCACATCCAATCTCCCACCCCCTTTACAAGGATTACTACCAGCTATCTGAGGCCTAGAAGTGAGTAGACAAACTGAGTGAAGCCCAGATCGAATATGTGATTGGTGGTAATCCTACCACCAAACCATCGACACTTACTATAAAGTTTCATGTACATTATTGTAATAAGCAGTGACTACATATTAAACTATACAGGTTGTAGCTATTGTGTGATAATTTTATTTCGATGGGTGAAACTTACGCAAATTTTTGAAGTGACTTATCGACTGATTCACACAATTTTAAGGAATCACGACCTAAATAGAAAAGAAAGAAGAAACAAAAAGGATATTCTAGAAAAACAAGCAAGGAAGACGTGTAACAGCAAAGATAATTAACACAGTGTAAATTTTCAGCTACAAGGTGACATTTTATTTAACACCTTGGTATTGCATGTAAGAATGTATGTATATCAACAGAAGATGCTTAACCCCGCGTTTTGTCCTATTCAGCTATCATCAGAAAAGGTTTGCTTGTATTCTTGGAAGAAACTAATATTCTTTCCGTGACAGCAATCTTCTAATGTTTCGCATGCGATTCTCCGGCTCCCATCAAATGTAAGATGACACTACAGGACTGACTGGACTACATCGGCTCATGTCTAGCTAAAAGATAGGCAGGAGTGAAGTGGCTGGTGGAGCGTGTTGACCACTTACTCGACTTTTTTGGGAAACACCAACGGGTTAACAAGGTCGATAACGAAATCTTCAAAGGGATATAGAAGGCTCGTTTGGCATTTGACTGTCGACCAAAGGACGTATGGTGTGTATTGCTCAGCAGTTAGCAAGATATGGGCATTAAAAGCTGTGGCAAATTGGTGATAGATACCGCGCAACCGCAAACCAATGTCAACGGTGATTATCTGTCGTATCTGTCACAATTTTGTGCCTCCCACGACCATACTGATCACTCCTTTACATTAGTAATTTAGACAACTCTTTAGTCTGTAGGTAATTATTTGTGAGCCAAATGGTAGAAGTTAGAATTGAGAAACTACTTGAATCTATCCACGTGGCTGGATGGTTAACAGGTTGGTCCCTTAACCCAAAGCCCTTAGGTTCGATTGCCGTAATACTACTCATTGTTGTGTACTGCTGATGAAATCCAGACTAGAGCGAAACAACACTCCGTTTTAGATATTATTGGTTCTTCAACTGAAATCAATTCGTCACTAAACTAGAAATTGATCAAATTATGACTTTGATATGACATGAAAGATTCACAAAAAGCTAAAAAGAAACTGAAACCAAAGTGTTATGATTAGTGTTATTATTATTATTATCAATATTATGGAACTTACTTTGTGAAGCGATATTACTCAATGGATCAAAGTTCAAGATGATTGAATTATTGTTGATATTGTTGTTGTTAACGACTGAACGACGTATTGATTTAGCCTAAAAATTAATTCACAATTGAAAAAAACTTCTCAAAATGTTGTTGTTTGTTTTTGATATCAAAGGCAAAAAACAAAGATAACTATGGCAGGCGAGTTAGGTGACATTGAAACTTTAATTCATCATACCATCCAATCGCCAAATGGTTGTCCGAAATGTTGTAGTCGGTAAGACAACACCTATGCAAATACTCTCTTCGCGATACTTTTGAGTTCATTGAATGCATAAAAGATTTGAATGAGAATGATTAACGAATGTTATCACTAGAAGTCGAATCTTTCGTTACCAACGTGCTATTAACAGAAACAATTTGCATCTTGTGCAATTATATGAGAAAATCCAATATAAGCGACGGAGTACCAACATCATATCTGAAGAAATTATTGCAGAGATGCACGCTGAATGTATAATTCACCTTCAACGGCGACATCTACAGACAGAAATATGGTATTGCAATGGGATATCCTCTTGGCCCGCTTTTAGCAGACTGCTTTACGGCCAATTTGGACAGTGGAGTCTTAAAACCAACAATAAACAAATTACTACTATGCAAAAGGTACGCTGACGATACCGTTATAGTCTGCTACGATAACTCGGACCTCATCCCATCCTTCGATTAAATTAACAATGAAAACCCGCAAAGGGTTCATCCACAGAAAACCGACATGGAATGGCCAACTAACGCATTTCTATAGTTGGATACCTTTGAGCCGAAAACGAGCTCTTATCACCACACCTACTCATCGCATTAGAAAAATCTGCAACAGCGATTGCGTGGAAAAGGAGCTCCTATTCCTCAAAAATATCCTAGCTCACAAAGGCTACCCGATACGTTTTGTCGAAAAGAACATGAAACCTAAACCAAAAAGAGGAGAATGCGATTCAGTGCCAAAGAAAATACTCTATCTGAATCTTAATTTTAGGAGAGATTTGGCAGCCGATATACTGAAGAGGAGAATATCCAGCCCTTTAAAGAGGACCTTCCCCGCAGCAACACTAAAAGTGACATTCTCTAGCCGTCCAATATTTCAAAACAACGTGAAGGACAAACTCTCGCATATGACCAATTCAGTGTGCACATACCAGTTCACCTGTTCGCGAGGAGGTAGGTACATAGGTCGTTGTATGCGCGTCCTTTCAAAACGTGTTAGAGAACATTAACCAGCGTGGCTGCAGAGGTGAGGCACCGGTTCATTCAGAAGTGTCATTAGTGAACATCTGACCAACACGTCTCACAACATCTCAACTGATTTTTTCAAAGCAATTCACAAAGTCAACAGAAACCTATTAAAAGCAATATGTTTACCAATTCTCTGTACTGCAGAAGCCCTCGCAAATACCATGGACCTAGTTCGATATGTTCCCTTACCTTCCGTTTTTTTCTATCGTTCTCGTTTTTCTTTTTGATCTTTTTCGTTCGATGGGTGTGTGTAATTCTTACTCCCTCTGTCTTCATTCGAATAACCCCATTTTTTCAGTCATAAACAGTTATTTGAAGTTTGTTTCATGCTTTTCCTGTTCACATTTATAATTCGTTTAAAATAACTATTATACAATTATATTCTAATGCTGTGCAATTTTGGGTTTCTAAGGCTCTTGTAATCTATATACGCACCCCCTAACTCCAATCTCAAGATGAAAATTATTATTTCAATTTTTGTTTCCATGCTCACTTTTACACACTCAATATCCAATCTTATTATTTATTATTATTATATCCTTTAATTCCTAGAGGAACATAGGGCTTCAGCTACGCATCTCCATTGCCTTCTGTTTTCTGCCACCTTTTCACCCCGCTCCAAGTCTGCCCACATGCTTTCATCTACTCTTCTCAGAGATCCCTGTTGCTGGTCTTTTCTGGCTGACCATCTGATCTTGAGTGGTATTGAGTGAAGACAGCTGTTGATGAAGGTCTGTAGCTTGTTTGAGATGCTCTTTATGATGCGCTAGCCAAGTCTCTGATCCGTATAGTAACACTGACTGACTTCACATTAGAGCTGAAAATCCGGATCTTATTTTTGATGGTGAGTGCTGTTGACCTCCACACGGACTTAAGAGTAATGAAAGCTTGTCTTGCTTTTCCGATTCCGGCTTTGATATCCTCGTCAGTTCCGTGTGTCTGTGGTTGAAACGATGCTTCCCAGGTAGGTAGGTAAGGGAAGTTTTTTCTTTTAGGTTCCTCCCATTTATGCCGGCTGATTGTTGTCTGTTGTTGTTGGCCAGGAATCTTCATCACCTCTGTTTTATCTATGTTCACCTGAAGTCTTATCTTCTCAGGATGCTTCTTTTGACAGCTTGTTGCTTTTCACTTGCATATCTTCCAGTTTGTGGGAAATCAGACATATATCATCGGCGAAGTCCAGATCCTCCAAGTTCTTTTTTGTGTCAGTCCATTTATGCCTGTTCCCTCGTTGGTTGCCGTTGTCTGTCTCATTATCCAATCCACTGCAATCAAGAAGATTATTGGAGATAGTAGACAGCCTTGCCTCACTCCCGTCCTCATTTCGAAGGCTTCCGTAAGTTTCCCGTTGTGGATTACTTGGCATGCAGCACTGTCGTACAACTGTTGGATGAGATGTATAATTGTCGATGGCACCCGTTGGTAGTAGCGAATTAGTTGCCAAATGACCTCTCGATCGACGCTGTAGAAGGCTTTTTCAAAGTCGATGAAGTTGAGATAGAGAGGTGACTGCCATTCCAAGCTTTGTTCAATGATGATCCGTTCTTATCCTGTGTAATTTTGTTTCTCAGTTTCTCATAAAAACCATAACTAGTTGAAAATAATTATCACCTTTTATTCGCCATCGTAATTATGTAGAATCAAACAAGAATTCTATCGATGTAAAATTATGTATTTAAATGCGATTGTTGAACTGCTTTTGAAAATGAAATCACCGGAAAGACAGTTTTCTTTGCTGGACTTCGTGTTCTCTTCATTCATTTAGAATTAGTCATTGTGACGCAATAAAGGGGTTGACTTAAAATATTTTTTTTTTAATATTTCTTCTGGTTTATTCTCACAATTCTCTTTCTCTGTTTATTGATGATAATTGAGAAATCCCACACAGACTAAATATCTAAATAACCTCACCTAGTTTTCTAGTTCACTAGTCAGTCCTTAGTTCAATGAGAAAGAGAAAATTTCGCATGATGCTAGCAACTCTACATTGGTAAATCAATACAAAAGCTGCAGAAACTTCACAACACTAGTTAAATATAAAACATCGGGGGGGGATCATGTGGGCTAATGTAACCCCTTCGGGAAGTCAGTCAGTTGATGTGTTCACCTTCTAACGATGAAAACAAAAATGAGCATGGGAACATGACATGCTCGCATAATGTTTGAAGCTGGTTGAGAAGGCTGCCCTAAATCCGTAACTGGAGTATCGACAATGTATTCCAATAACCCGGTGAAGAACAAATACTAACACACCGTTATGTAACTACCACTGTGTCACCATCAACAGCATCGAAGAATGTAACGCAGTGGGAATCAATCTCCCCTCTATAAAAATGACAATAAGATTCAACTCAAAGGGTGGGAGATGAAAACTAATGGGTATTCGTGGGGCCAGCTAGAAACAACTGACTGCAGAGGACAGGGTGAAATAGAGATGCCTTGCGAATACCCTATGCTATATTTGGAGCTCAAAGGAATAATAATATATCACTTAATATCTAAATAGTGTGCTAATGAATAAAGTTTTTTAGGCCTGAACAGTTCACTCACGCCCATTAGGCATTTTTAACTGCAACAAGCTATTAGCCACACATTCTAACACACACACAAACACTTAGTGTGTCAAAGCCTGCCAGTCAACCGATGCGTCTGCCTTGTGTCACTGAAAACGATAATAGACATGGAGACATGACAAGCCTTCACAATATTCGGAGCTGGTTGGAAAGACTGCTCACATTGCAAAACAAATGAGAAGATATAGCATGGAAGTGTTTGGAATGAAAGTAGCCAACCCTCCAAATTGGTAACTGGAATATCAATAATGTATTCATCAGGGCACCACCGAATGCATCGAAGACTCTCATGCAGTGGGAACGAATCTCCCCTTCCCAAACATGACAATAAAATCCAACTCAAAAGGTAGGAGATGAAAGATTATAGGTAATCGTGGAACCAGTTAAAAAAAACTGACTGCAGAGCACAGGGTGAAATGAAGATGTATTGTGAAAACCCTGCATACTACATTCGGAACTCTAGGGAATCATAATGTAATAGCAAATATCTAAGTGGTTTGCTAACGATTAAAGGTTTTTAGGCTTGATCAGTTCAATTTCCAAAAAAAAAGACATTTTCAATGTACCATGCTATGAGCCATACATTAACACACACGCACACTCATTGTGTCAAAGCTTGACAATACAACTACACAGTTACGCCCAAGCTGAATTAGGCGGAGCCTTATATGTATAAAACCATAAAAATCATTCATTACAATGTACAGTAGTTCAACTTTCTTTAAATTGCATGCATTTAATGCACTGTGATTCCTGAAGTGATAATAATAAAAACCAACATTTTTAAGGCTTCAATGAATCAATATTCTTTAATTTTCTTTCCGTTCCTCTTGTGTGTTACGAGTGGAACGTAGGATTTGAAGCTTAAAAATTGTGGGAGCAATGATTATGTATTCATCTTTTCGCCTTTTCATGTCTTCCACTTTTAATGGCCATGCATGCCTCTCATAACCAGTCATCAAGCAGGACAGACCGAATTGCTGAACAGTACACACCACACGTCTTTTGATCGATAACCGGATATAACGACAACGTGAGAAGTGCCGTAGGTTGGCAGGCAAATGCTAAACCAGTCTTCTGTGTCCGTGCTGAGATTTCGTCAATGATCAACCCTCTGGAGTTGGTTGATGTAACGACCCAATTAAGTGAAGTAGTCAAAAAGCCCGACCACTTATTAAAAGTCAGCAGTAATAATACCATCCACGGGGAGATTCGAACTCATAATCCATTCAAGTATTGGTTTGTAGGGATTTCGTTGATTGGTTACAGGATTTGATCATGAGCTGATAGTGGTCAGAGAACCATTGGAAAACCACCATCTAAAAGTACTGAACATCTATTTCGTCCTAGTTTGGGACTCTTCAGCAGTGCGCACCCGCCTCCGGGGTTCGAACTCAGGATGTTCCGGTTACAAGGCCAAAGAGCTCATAGAATATTAAAGCCACTGAAACCAGCCGATCCAATGGCCCATTAATCCTAATTTCTGCCAATTCACGACACAGCACAACCACTAGCCAATGTCTTTGGCAAGTATTTGTCCTCCAACCCGATCTGCTGAACCCTACTGGTCACGATTTCCAACTAGAACCCCAGGTAACTACCTACCTGAATAGAGCCAGTCGCCAGTGAGCATCTCATTGCTATTCAAGCATTGGTTTGTAGGGATTTGGTTGATTGATTTAATGGTCTAAGAGCTCGCCTTGTAATCAGAAGGCTCTGGGTTCGAACCTCAGTGAGTGTGTACTGATGAAGAGTCCCAAAATAGGACGAAACAGCTATCCAATACTCCAAGGTTTTCCAATGACTCCCTTACCAATTTCAGCTCATAATCCATCGGTTAAAAGTCAAACGTCAACACCATTCAGTTACAGTTCACACACACTTAATTTAACACAAAGGTAATTTTCGTACTTTAAAGGGGAAAAGTGAATGCAGTAAAACACAGAAAAATAACATCAACATAATTTATCATTTTAGGGGATAAGGACACTAGGAGTAGAATCCAGGATGCACACGATTCATCGGACTCAGGGCTCGTCAACTGCATGCATCTGCAATCCTGTGAGTAGAATGCTGGTGTATCCGATAAGACTCGGACCCAGCACCCAGAGTTTTTTCACATAATTAGTAGTAATTGAAGCGTCTATAGTCAAAGTGAGCCAACATGTCAACAGAGACAGAACATTTCAAGTCCAGTATAATCAATCAACGGAAAATATTTAAAAAAAATTTCTTTTTAAAAACATAATTGATATGTCTCACCTTCTTATTGGTGGTCATATGTTCTAGTTGCTCTAACATACTCAAGAAGTGATTATCATTTATAGGACTTCCGATATTCTCAACCTCTGCTTCTTCGTTCATATTCACAATAAATTCATCTAAAAATGTATAACAATAATAATTATCCCCACTATTAATTAATATTAGAAGAAGACATATAATAAGCGAACAATATTGTTGTTTTCAACTAGATCTTCTTCTTCAGACTTTAATCCTAATTTACATGCATTTATGCATAAAAAGACGGTGAGTTTGTGGATCAAATAATAATAATAATGTGGTAAATGTTTTGAACGTCATTAATAACGATGATTGTAATGATAACAAAACTAATGATAATAAGGTTTATCCAGGTGGCGATAAGAATAACGCAGGCAGTGATAATATGCGTGTATATACAGACAATTCAATAAATAAATAAATTAGGTCAAATCATAAAAGTTATGTAATACTAAAGGCTAAATGGACACGAAGTAAATGGAAAATAAGAAAGGGTGGGAGGGATTTTAATTAGACTTTACCGAGGCCAATGGTGGGAGAGACAGAGGTAGAACAAACTTCTTTTGTTGTATGCAAAAACTAGGATTGTGAAAAAAAGCGGGTTCGAAAGGCTTGATGGAATGCGATACATAAACTTGTAGGCACTAATTCTAACCACTTAGTAACCGCTATCATCAATCAAATGAGTTAGAATAGAACTTTGTATTTGCCCTTTTATTTGCCCTTTTCCGAACTATGAAGGAAGATGTTCATTAATACGTTTGTTGTTGTTGTTCTCTCTATATAACAAGCTTTTTCCACAGGAGCAGCTAAATTTGTAGATACACATAGAAGTGGCACATTTAGATAGAGCTTGTCTTTCGTTTGAGTAATCCATCATAATTGGTCGGCAGTTGGAAAATGACAAACAAAGGGTGGCGGCAGTATAATAATTATCATTCATATAAATTGCTCAGCTATTAACTATACAGAATAAAAGTGAGATTTCGGTGATTGTCACCGTACTGGTGGTAGACATGAAAGGCCAAAATCAGTGGGATTGAGTATCTGAAAAATAAAACGAATAGCGTTCAAACCTGTTAAGATCACAAGCAAACTATGGGAACTTAAAACTCGTAACACTGCACTGGTGGATTAGAATTCAAAGTCCACCGCTCGATGAATGGTCCACATTAGGAAAACCACATAGATAAATCTCACTTTGTACAACATCTGGACAGTATTTCGAATTTCGTACAGAACTTAACACAACAAATCAGAGCATGGATCATGATTCCACGATTCGATTGTATACTAAAATCTTCTAAGTATATAAATTACATAAGATACAGAAGTTAGAATATATAAATCTGCAGATCGCTTTACAAGGTATATTCAGATAAGAAATAAATATTAATTGGAGTTCCTGAGGAGCAGGAAGCAAAGGACAGTTGTTACAGACGGCTTCACAGTTTCAGAAACTCCAACAGAATTGTTCTCTGGCAATATCTGTTGTTAGAGAGGGGTGTGTACCTGAGGAGTGTATTAACGTCCTGAAAGCTCTAAACAGATATCCTTTAGGTAGAGTGAACGCATAGAACTATACAACTGAACACTAAAGATTGAAGAACTTACTATCTACTACATTTTCCATGAATTGAACAGGCTGACCACTTTCTGCCTCTTGGGTAACAACCACATTGTTATCTCTGATATAAAGAAGAGAAGACGAAAGCGGTTATGATACACCATCCACGGTGTCAAAAAATACTCACGAAAAGCATGCAAATGAGATAAACTATTTGAATTATAATTAGCTTTACAACTACTCATGCAAGTTGTATTTCTCTCTCTCTCTCTCTCTCTGTGCGTGTGTGTGTAAATCATCAAATGAACAAAATTTTACATAACATAGAGAAGAGAATTAACCTCCAGGTGGATGATTTTGATCTGGTTGCCTTGTCTGATTGTAAAGCTTTCATTTCGCCTCCTTCTAGACAATATCCTTTCAGCTCAAACTAGATGCTGAAGATGTTCACTAGGCGGTTAATGAAAGCTTCGTAAATGAACCACGTAGTTCAGAGAATGCAACCATACCAAATTGTTACACATTCACAGGCTAAGAGACGAATACGATAAGGAATAACATGCACTACCACTCACACAGTCAATGCAATAAATCGCTGTACAGATACAGAAGAAAATGAAACTATTATTGGAGACACTTTTATCTTATGTAGACATATGAAAATAGGAAACGACGACAACAATCAAAAGAGCAACAAACATACAAGTTACATGTTTGATAGAGGCACCTGCTAAAGAGCTGCTGGTGGTCAAAAGGAAACATGGATTCATCAGTCAATGAAATCCACAACATTTAGTTTAAGCCAGCCAACCGGCCACGTAGGAAGGTGTATACTTCCTGGTTAGGGTCATCGGGACAGTAAACACCAATGAAGGCTAGAGGCAATTGGTGATATGGTTCAAAATCGTTGTCAATGGTGCACATACATCCATTCTTTGTGACTTATAATACCCAAAAAAACTATATTGTTAACTGTCTCCATTTTGCATTTATTTTTACTTTCTTCTCTTGCTTTCTGTGCTACATGGAGTAGAGTGTGGCGACTCGAACTGCTGCACATCGCTGCAAAGTTCAATGTTGAAACCAGTCAGTTAGTCAGTCAGTGAATACACATTCACACCCAATTCTCACTCTTTACCAGGAATACTAACAGCTAACTGAGTACGTAAGCAGGGGTTATCGTGCCCATCCATATAAGATTCATGTTTGGCAAAGATTCCACCGCTGAATCATCGACACGATCTCTGAAGTTTCATGTACATAATTGTAGTACGTAAGCAGTGACTACATATATAACTATACACAGATGTGACAAAGGAAACTTACACAGATTGTTGAGGTAACTTATCGATTGATTCACACAACTGTAAAGAATCACGATCTAGAGAGAAAAAGAAGAAGGAGAAACAAAAAGGATATTCTAAAACACAAAGAAGATGTACCCCAACAAGGAAAAAAACAAAATGCACTTTCAAAATACTACTGACACAAAATTGTTATTTTTAAGCTACACAATGAGATTTCATGTACTACGTTAGTATTACATGTAAGTAAATCAAAAGGAATCTTTGAAACCCGCCCAAGTTTAGTCCTTATCAACACACTCGTCAGAGCAAACGTCTGCTGGTAATCTAGAAGAAACTCATATTTCTTTCGTGATTTACTTAAAGATTCGTCATTCAGAATGACAAAGTCAGCGGTTTAAATAGGTACATATAGTAAGTGTTGTGAAATCATTATAAGACACTTGAAAGTAATAGTGAAGGTATAAGGCGCTTTAAAACAATAATAATAATAACGGCAATAATACACAGGAGCACCCCCTTTCCAGTGAACATCGATACACGGTGAATTCAGCTCCATGTGTGTTACCAATTCGCCTAGGGAGTTAGTCAGCTAGTTAGTTAGCCGGAATTCAACTGAAACTGTTAACTGGTGTTTAGATCAAATAATTTCAAGAATGAAATTCGTAACTGGCAAATTATTATTTCAGGATTCGTGATTTACACAATTCGGCTAGGAGGCGAACTAAACCAGTTGATGTGAGTCGTACACACAAGTACTCATGTCAATCAATAAGCACTATATATTTAGCGTCATTCACATTTAAGTTTGCTTTCTTTATTATCAACTTATGAGGTATCAAGTAGATCTCATACACTGTGGTTTCAATAATTTCGATTTGCGTACAGATGAAGAGTTCGAAACTAGGACGAAACAGCTGTTCAATACTCCCAGCTGATTTTCAATGCTTCTGTAACCGATGTCAGCTCACGATGAAATCTTTCAACCAATCAAACAAATTCTCTACAAAACCAATAATTGAAAATTTCGATTTGCGAAAGAAGCTATGGGTTAAATTCTACCACCTCTAACCATGTGAACTGCAAACTGCAAATTCAATATACGTGAAAAATAATTGTTGTTAGTGAGCTTACTTTGTGATACATTATTCAGTGGGTCAAAATTCAGAATGATTGAATTGTTGTTTTTGGTGTTGCAGGTCGCGACGATGTCATCAATTGAACGACGCACTGATTCCGTCTAAAAATTAATTCAAATGAAAGTTAAGGTCAAAGTAATTGATGCCAGAGCCGATAAAAGAAAATGAAAGTGACAAGCGAACATACAAAAGACCAAGACAAAAAAGTCAAAATGTAACCCTTGTGACGCAATAAAGGAATGAGACTTTCTACTTCATTATGATCAGATAATTTTGTGACATAATAGAAAAGATTTGTAACTCAGGTGGATGATTTGCAATTAATAGTGCTCTCTGAGCTGGTTGGTTTAGTTGCGAAGCTTTTGTCGTCTTTCTGGACGATCAGAAAGTTTAAAATCCCAATAGAAAGAAAACGATCAATACATATCTAAAGATGGTTACCGGGAGACGCAATTATGTCACTTATGAAGAAATTTAAATCATTTCACTTTATCCTAAATACTGCGCTGAAGATGCCGTCGAAGAAAGACGACGAAAGCTCCGCAACTAAACCAACCAGCTCAGAGAACACTATAAATTGCAAATTTTGTGACAATTCATATTCATATTCTCACTGTTCTCTTCCTCTATCTCTGGGTGATTGACAGACTAGTAAAGTGAACATCCAGTTTACTAGTTCACCAGTTAACTACTAGCCAACAGAAGAGACTTCAAAGAGGCTACTTCTTTCAACTACTGATGAAGCACAGCTTCAACCAAAGGCATTCGGAAAGGATAAAGATGTTAAAGCCAGCCAGATTCGAAAAGGCTAGATACACCTTCAATCAACCAACCTGAGACCAGTTTAGAAATCTTCTGCAATCAGACAGATTAAAAGACAAGATTCGGATTGTCAACATAAAATTTGAAGTTAGTTCTTTTTGGCGGGTCAGAAACTTGCACTACGCGTCACGAGAAGCATTTCTAAAGAGCTAATGCAGATTTTCATCAACAGCTGCCTTCGTTGGCTCCATATTGAAGATCAAATGGCCGGTAGACCCGCAAGAAAGAATAAGCAACAAGAAACTCAGGCTGACGACAAACCAACCAAGAGCATATCACTTAACTAATATGTAGGAGAAAAAGGAGATGGATTGATCGCGCATACGTTGACGAGACCATCGAATGACATAGTGCACAATGCAGGTCATCATCACTCTAGTCCAATCCCAATCGGAAACGACGAGTGGGCCGTCAGTGCAAAAGTGACATGGAGGAGATCGTGTGGCGAGGAGGAGGAGATTAGAGATTATGGGTAATCGTGGACCCAGTTGAAGAGAACAACATCAAATAGAGCAAAGTGGAGATATGTTGCTGAAGTCCTATGTTCTACTCGGAAGCCCAGAAGAAGAATAAAATATAAAAATAATGGTTAACTAGCCAGTCCTAAGTCGAAAAAAAGGAGGTAGGATTTGGCCCGGGATTAGCGCAATTCTACCTAGAGAATTCAATGAAATAGCTATAAAAACTTCAAAGCACCAGCAAAATATAAAAAATCAAGGAAGAGGAAATCACGAAGAGTGACGAATGCCTTCAGGTAGTCACTCAACAGATGTGTCCACCTTGTGCCAATGAAAACTAAAATAGACATGGAGACATGACAAACCTTCACAATGTTCGGAGCTGGTTGGAAAGACTGCTCACATTGCAAAACAAATGAGAAGATATAGCATGGAAGTGTTTGGAATGAAAGTAGCCAACCCTTCCAAATTGGTAACTGGAATATCAATATATATATATATATAATAGTATATTATTATATTATATTCGGAACTCAAGGGAATCATATTATAATAGTGTAACAACAGAAGACAAGGGCCAGGCAACAGATCGTTTTATTATGAAAATCAACACGTATTTATACATCTTTCAACTACATTATTATAGACAAGCGCAGTCATCTGATTGGTTGTTTAGGTAGACAAACGCAGGCTTCTGATTGGTTGTTTCGGGATTCCTTGACAAATAGAGTTCTCTCTGCGAATCATATTCTGCCACGTTAACTTTGCTGTGATTGGTTGTTGACTCAGGCTTGTTCATATTTTCTCACGGCCCATATTAGTGACCTAGACCTTAACGTAGATTAGTGCCAACCAATCGGCTAGCAGCCTGCTCTCACCACAATAGTAAATATCTAAGTGGTTAGCTAATGATCCAAGTTTTTTAGGCTCGACCAGATTAACTACCCACAACAGATATTTTCAATGTACCATGCTATGAGCCATACATAAACACACACACACACACAAACTTATTGTGTCAAAGCTTGACAACACCTACACTGTTACGCCCAAGCTGAATTAGGTCGAGCCTTATGTACAAAGTCATGGAAATAGTCAACTGTATAGTGTAGCTGTTCAACTTGTTCAAGTCGTATACATTTAATAGACACATTTTTGAAGAAAAATTAAAACAACGACAGTAACACTATTAGACCTAACAATTTCTCAATTTTCAATGATTCAATTAATATTTTAGCGATCATTTGCGCTGTGAGTGGGAAACAAGGCTTCAAGCTTATAAGTAGTAGTCAACAGGGATGATGTGTTTCAACAGGGTGAGATTACTAGCCTCGCAGTCAACTCTCTCTCTCTCTCTCTCTGGAATTATTACCTGCGACCAGGCGACGTTTGTAAATAGGTCAGTCAGTAATCGAACCTGAACCATATGAGCAGTGGACAAAGGGTACAATCAGGAAATTAGCCTTGGTTTCAAAGGTCAGGTGTATCCAGTTTTGCTCAATATGCTGATAAGACCAGGGCCTCTTCGAGATGTGCGTATGACGCGACGTTGTGTGGTCGATCACCACTACCAACTATATGCATGACTTCTAGAAGAAAAGTTGAGAACGTAATATCACAATACAGCTGACGAGTGTCAACTAGCACAAAACCTAGGTCACGCAAGGCTTCTTATGGCGGATCGCCTCCAACTATCTAATATCATCATATCAATGTGCATTGTGATGACGAGCTACCGAGAATGGTGGCCACATTGCAAACCTGACTGATGATAGAATTCAGTCTGCACCAAAGAAAGGACTAGAAACGTCACACTAGTTACTAGTGTTCAATCAAAATATCCACTACAGTCCTACAGGAGGTCAATCGCGAGCCAGCCCGAATAGCTCAGTGATAACATCTCTGACTGCGGAACTCACTGGGTGACGCAGGTTCGAAACCCAGTTGATGGGACATGAGTTCCTTCATGGTTGCAGATACGCCTTGCTGACTGGTGAGTGCAAACTAGTACGAAACCTCGGTAAAGCAAGGCTTCCTGTGGCCGATTGCACCCAACTATCTAACATTAACAACTGAATACAGACGTAGCTGATTATGTTCATTAAAAACTAGAAGGTAACCAGTATCATGTGTCTAGCCCTCACTAATGATATCGACTGCAGTTTTTTTTAGTCAGCTTTACATTGTCATCACTGGTCATCTGGTTGCACTTTGCATTGCTGTTAAACGGTTGAAGGTAATTGCCAGATAGTTTCTGGTTACGGGGAAAGCAATAACCAAAATGTATTTGATGCGACTATCAGACTAATTATGTAACGGATATAAAATTGGCAAGTGACAGTAACTTGCCTTCTGAATGATACTAGAGTTAGCTCAAATCTAAGGAAGATTTCATCTTGAATACAAAATGTATGCTATAAAAGTATTCTCAAATAGGATAGAAGATGCCTCTTGAATACTGACTGATATTCAAGCAGTTTTCCAAACGATGATGTTTAAGATTTACACTAGCTGATTGGAAGCTGTAGACAGCAAATCCTATCAGACGTAAGTTCCACGTATATTAGCACTTGTATGAAAGGCTTATCTGCAACCTACAAGGGATTGATATTGAATCTGATATTCCAACCCACGTAAACAAGTGCTGTAATCAGAGAAGCAACTACGGAATTATTTGAACATATACAATTGACCTCATGTAGATCTGTAATGGATATGCTGATTGGTCACTAGAAAATAATCATCAATGTCATTGTATCTCACAGACAAGACGTTGGAAAGATAATTTGCGGATCAACAATTCAGTGCTTTTCTGGTAACGACAGATTTCATGAAGGGTGACAGTTTCAGGCCTGTATCTGTGTGCTTTCTTAACTCCATCAGTAGCTGGTGTGCTTTAACGGACAGCCTTGGTGGCTAGATACTTCCGTGAGGCCTTTTCACCAGTAGATTTACGAGTAGTCTGTTTCGTACAAGCTATAGCGAAACATTGAGAGACGATGACACTACATCTGGTGCTTGGTGTTGGTGCTAACCCTTACCTATGAGTCTAACTCACGTATTTAGATATCACTCAGCTAAAACGTCTCTTTCCATTGTCTTCTGAGTACATTCCATTGAAAGTGCAAAATTGTTTCTCTGTGAAATTTGTCTGACTCACTGTCGTTTTCGCTCACATTTCAGACTTTATTATTCCCTTGGGTTTCAATTGGAACATAGAAATTCAAGAGCACATCACTGTGTCACCCTGTCCTCTGGGACTCTTTTTAAGTACTATCAAAATTTCCTATAGGCTATCATCTTCTCCTCACACCATTTCCTTTTTGACACCCTCGAACCCAAGCCCAACTCATCATCATTTCCTGTTCGGGCTCCATTTGATGGCCTGGTGCACAATGTCACTCAAAAGTTTTCGCAGTGTATCTCCGATCTGTCTCCATTTACTTGGTTCATCACTAAATTTCTTCTTGCTACTCTCTTCTGGCCGACAATCGGATCTTCAGTATGGAACGATGGCAGCTATGTAAAAAGTCTGCAGTGGCCAGCTGGAAATGCTTTGAGTGACGCACCCCCCCCCTCCCAAGTGTTTGAACCGTATAAAAGCCCTAACTGCCTTGCAATTCGCGTTCAAAAAATCTTAATCCTGTTCCTTATGCTCAGAGTTCAATGGATTCTTACACTGACTTTACACTAATGAAGTTCAGTTTTGTTTTTCCGACCCTAGCTGATTTCAACATTCCTATCCATACCGACAACTGTAGTTGAAACGAAACTGGCTAGCTGTTGAGTGAGGCTGATGGAAGTTTGAGACAGTCAACAGTATCGAAGCTGTTTCCAAATTATTTCGCCGTCAACATTATCAAAGTTCTTTTCAAATTCGATCAAATTAAGGTACAAATTTGACTTATTATTGCAGAGATTAATAAAAACAATAACCAAGATTAAATTACATGTGAGGAAAGAAGTCGAACTCACGACCCATTGGTCAAAAGTTGTATGTTAAATCCAATCACTTACAGTCAACAATATTAAATTTAACACCATAGTAACAAATATTTTACAGAGAAAGGTAAGAGAACAGATAAGCACAGGATAATATATCGCGATAATGATAAAAATAATCCATTTCTCACCTTCTCATTGGAGGTCATCTGTTCCATTTCTTCTAACATATCCAATAAGTCATTATCACTCATAAGACAATCGACATTCTCAACCTTTTCTTCTTCTATCGTATTTGCAATACATTCATCTAAAATGCATAACAGTAGTCTAGATCACTCATATAAACTGCTTATCTATTAAATATGCAGCACAATATCAGCTGTTCCATGATTTTCACCGAACTGGTGAATATAGGAAAGGAAGTTATAAAACCCGGATTCAAAAACCTTTGGTCACGTGAGCCTCAGAATTCGACAAAAACCAACTGGCGTACGTACCTCCGTTTTTTGAGCAGCGACAACCACAGCAAAGCATCTCCTAACACTTCTTCTGTCGCCTTGTGTATCCGACTTTAAGTCAAACGTTCCAAAAACAGTCGTTTTAGGAAACTGCTTGGTTTGGTATGGACATCCACCCTCACACAGATCTTCAAACAATAAATCTAAGTTTGTTTCCCAAATCAATTAGGCATAAAAATAATATTATAAAAGTTAAACAAAAGTGATTTATCCAAGTGTTGGTTTGTATGGACCTGAATGATTTTAAGAGTAAGCACAAACTGTCTTCATAGTTAGAGAACCATTGAAAACCAACGGGAAGCAGTCGACAGATGTTTTGTCCAACAGTCAAACAACCAATACAAGAGGTAGCATTATAAATCACGAATTCGTAGAAGTCAGCACTTGATGGGCGAATGGACTCCATCCCAGTGGTTGAATCGTCAACAAACTCACCTTGACACCTGCAGATCATGATTTCGAACCCCTCCCACCCCATTTCCGAGGAGTCATTTGTACGTACTGTTGAAGAGCCCTGAATAATGAGGACAAAACAACTATCCAGTACTCCCTGCTGATGATTCTCTAACCAAAGTTAGTCCACGGTCAAAGTTCAAAGGCTTTATCTATTTATAAATAGATATTAGGATTCAGAGTAGGTGATGTATTTACATTAAGAAGGAACCTTAGTTGAAGTCATTAAATGACTCTAGATTTAAGCCTTCGGTCAGCAGTTCGACACTAAATCACTCACTCACTCACTCACTAACATGGAGGCCTATAGGATCGATACTAAAAAAGTTCGTAAGGTACAGACACTGTTCAAAACAGATGTAAACTCTAATGAAACAGTTACCATACAGTTCCTTGCTACGGTTGATTCTGATTCATGGCAAGAGACAACTATTGGAATTGAAGTATAATTTTACAATACATATGTCAACTTTGTATACTAATAATTTACACCTAATCCGAATTTTCAATGGATTTTTACAAGTCTTAGTACATGCAATACAGATTAAATCGATTCATGCATTAATGTGTCGGTGGCACATAGGGAGAATCCTCGTCGACCACGCAGGTGGCCACAGACGCACTCCTTTATCTCGCTAGGCCAGTAACAAGACTGGTAAAGACAGGGAAGGTTGGGCATCAGACTGGTTAGCAACCCCATCCCGTAAAAATAAAAACACCATTGCTACCGAGACTTCAGAGCTTAAGCTTGAAGCCCTATGTTCCACTAGGAACGTAAAGTAATATTAAAAAATTCGCATGATTCTCATAAACGTGAAGGATAAGCTACTACTGTTGGCCTCATCAATGTGTATCTACCTATTCACCTGTTCGTGTGGAGGAGCTAGGTATCTCGGACGTACACCCAGCGTTCGCTATCCAAACGTATTACCGAACACTTACCAGCATGGTTTTACAAAGGAGAAAAACGATGCACTTGCAGCTCCATTTTAGAACATCTGATAGATTCCTGACACCAAGCGACACACACCCCAAAAAAGACTTCAAATATAAAAAATTGATATTTGATCGTAAATTTAAGTGGACCACAAACTACACACTGTTAAAAACAAATCCTGGTTGACGAGTTGAAAGACCAAATTGTCACCATAAAAGTTTCTACAAAACTCCAACATTTTAAGCTACCACACTCTTCCATAGAGCAAAGAGGTGCAGAGGAACCACAATACACGAAAATCTACTGCAGAAATGAATAATAACATGAAAATTGATACGAATTTAATGGATTTGCGGGGCAACAAAGAGTCAATGGACGTCTGAGCCAATAAGAACCACCCCCCAATAGCCCCTCCTCCCTCCTTATATAACCTAAACCAACAATTAAAATCTTCATAGACTGATGAGTAGTTTTCACCCTCATTTCTAACTTTTTCACATCAGTTGACGAAGTAAAAGAATTCAAACAGCTAAATTATAATACACTTCTCTACAGGGAGTTGATATTCAGAAACAAACAAGCTGATTATGTGATGGACAGTAGTAACAAAAGCATAGTGACAAAACTGATTGTTATAAGACATGAGTTTTAGGCTTACACCAAATGATATGTTGAATATCTCTGAATTTCTGTTTGCCCACGTGTTCCCCCGGGAACAAAGGCGTTCAAATTTCAGGTTTGAAGTTCTAGTTAACACGCTAAAGTCGCTAGTCAAACACCCAACAATCCCTCTTCACCAGACACCAGAGACATTTAAGTGTGCGCGGTTGACAAGCATTTTACCACTGAACCACCGACGCATCAACAGTACACAAAAAACACGACTCTACTGAGGATTGAACCCCTAGGACCCAGCCCATTGACCATCCAACCACTGGGACTAATACATTATTGAAATTAGGCCTCTTGCTAATATTAAAGAAATGGGGAGTCTGTTAAAGTAGTCGTGAATTAAGAACAAAATAAAATATACGAGGCTATTTATCATCCTTAATAGGTACAACAAACAGGATAAAAAGATTTTAACCAGGTTTGAATTTAGAAAACTAATCAATGAAATGATAGCATACACTACAAAGTTGTATAAGCAGCTGGAAACTGTTCACACTACTCAGTAACGTTTGTTGCTAAGATTCGAATCACTCTGTTATTGAACATCAATTACATTCATAATTGAAGACTACACTTCTCTCTCTTGGTTGAAATCCTCCTCCCCCCAATTGAAAACGATAAATAATTCATTACACCCAACGTAGTAAACGATGAACTTCAAAGTATGAAAAATCACCATTTTATTAGGAATAAATGGGTCAGCAAAGAGATCTCTTTGCGCAACTTCACTTCAAAGATGAACAGCTATTTAGGAGATGGTATAACGGTAGAATACTCGCCTACCACGCATGTGGTAAAGGGTTCGATCCCCGGCCACCGACGCACTCCCTTACTCGGTAAGCCAGTAATAAGACTGGTAAAGAGGGAAGGCTGGGTATAAGAGTATGAGACTAGCAACCCCATCTTGTAAAAAAATAAACACCACTGCTACCGGAACTTCAAGCCTCTAGCTTGAAGCCGTGTATGTTCCACTGGGATGTAAAGGAATAAAGAAAAAAAAATTTCAAGTTCAATGAACTTACCTTCATTTTTAGTTTCCTCGGACTGGATAGGCTGAACACCTTCGTCTTTGGTAACATTGTTATCACTGAAAGAAATGAAAACATGAAGGGTTACGATATCCGGCGAGGGGGGGGACAAAAAAAAGTGATAGTAACAAGTCATCTCCGAATTAAGATGTCAAACACTTAAAGATTTCAATAAGATGATCGACAATATCAGCGGTGAAGTTTATGCTGATTGTATTGAATCTCAATCAAATTCAGGTGAATTTAAGATATTCCTACGTTGATCGACAGGAACTAATAACGATAGCCAAGGGTAACGAAAGTAGCTGTACGGATTTCGTCTAAACACACAAATTTGCTCTTCTTTAGGTGGATTCCCAAGACTTCAGCTGTATGTATGTAGAAGACGTACTCGAAAAGTAAAATTAAGATTAGTTGGAATAACTTTAAATGCCGTACTAAATCAACCCTATGCTCACAGTCTAAAGGTATGCTAAAGCACAGCAACAAATGGAGTAATTCAATGAGTTGGAATTCTACTGTTGATATATGGATGATACATTTCTGGTTATGAAAAACGAGAATGAAGCAACGAACATCCTCGACAAGAGTTCAATAATGCGTTTTCTGCAATAAACTTTCCCATAATGGAAGAAAGTAATGATAGTATGCCATTTGCAGATGTTTTCCTGACCAGGAAATAGGATGGTACACTTAAATGGAGTGTGTATAGGAAATCAACAACTACGCGTCAGTACACTCATTTTCTGAGTTTTAGGCCTTTGAAATATTAGCGGAACTTTACCAAGTTCATAGAGTTCTAATGACTCTCTCAATAAGGAGCTTAAGATTATCAGAGAATTTACTTATTAAAAACTTATCCAGAAAAAGATGAATTTAGCACCAAAGCAAGACAGTTGGGCAAAAGCTCAATAAAAAGCCACTGCTCATAAAACTCCAGCACCTCAGTGATGAGGTCAGCGAAATAGCAACACAGAGCCTGAAGAATGCAGTTGAAAGAGCTTTCAATCCAGAAGAGATACGTTGTCTTTTCATTACCACACCCTATTTTACGTTTCAGAAGTAAGAACAAACTACCTAATTTCTCCTCCTCTATGGATATCCACTAGTTTAACTGCAGCTGTAGAACCAGCTACATTGGGAGCACAATTAGGCAGATTCATCAACCTATTTCCGAACATCAAGGGGCATGGCTAAGCAAGAGACAAACAAGATTCATTCGTAACCAGCTGCTTTAGCACACATTGTACACAGTGAGTATAAAGTTGATGTTAATACAGCATTTAAAGAAACTAATAAGTAAATAAGTAGACTAATCGTTTCCATAAAAATTTAATTGCCTTCAAAAATTTGTGTTACCATTTCACTTTTATTTATTTGACACTCAACTATTTTTTTTACAAAAAATGAGTAGTATAGGATTTGATTACATAATTCTATTATCACTTCTGCGTCTACCCTTTTATGTACAACTGAATAAATTATAATAAAGAAGATCTGTAGCTCAGATAGATCTATTTGAACTTGTTGTGTTGGCTTAACTGAATCACTTAACTGTGAAATTTTTTCTTATCCTTCTAGACATCATATCCTCAGTGTTAACTTTCCAGACAGAAGTCACCTTGAAGGACAACGAAAGTTATCAAATAAAATCATCCGCTTCTCAAAACACAACAATAACACCAACAACAAAAAATTGAAATATAATCTTTGTATGTGAAACAGTCACTCGCTATTGCCTACTGTGCAGCGGCGATTCGCCCTGTTCTTCAGTAAGGCTTCATGAAAGTTAAAAATATGAAACTGGTTAGCTGTCTTTGACTGTAAGTGTCTGCGTTCTATCTCCCATGTTAAATGCTACAATAAGATCGCTAATATTAAAACGAGGCCGAGTCAATCAATGCGACCATAAAGCTAAATAGATTTGAGATGATTAGGACGCATGCAAAATCACTGTCTTCCCCATCGAACAATATTAGCTGAGATAAGGGTGGTCAAATCAAAACCTAGTATCGATCCATGAAGTCTTCGACAGTTGGTTTGAGAAATGTAGACAGAATGGTTAGAGTTCTCAAGTCATTTAAGATTCAATCGCCGGAAACTATCGGTGATATGGCTAGAAGTTGTTCTCGAAGACACAGACATATTCATCACGAGATCGATTCAATAGTTATTGTCCTTTCTCTCATACGTCGCTGTTCATAACAGTTTCTATACTCTTCTTTTTCACCCCCATCTGACCGCACATTCTTTATGTATGCTTTCTGAGTACAACATAAGGCTTCACGCTTTGATCTCTGAAATGTCCGTATCAACTGCATTTTTACGCGGTAAGATTACACGTCTCTCTCTATTTACCTCTATCTCAACTTCATCGACTTTGAAAAAGCCTTCTACAGCGTCGATCGAGAGGTCATTTGGCAGCTACTTCACTACTACGGGGTGCCATCGACAATTATACACCTTATCGAACAATTGTACGACAATGCTGTATGCCTAGTAATCCACAACAGGAAACTTACAGAAGCCTTCGAAGTGAGGACGGGAGTGAGGCAAGGCTGTCTACTATCGCCAATAATCTTCCTGATTGCAGTAGATTGGACAATGCGATAGAATAAAAGGAGAATTAGCTGTGATGTTAGAATGTAAAATAAAACGAATAGAAGGAGGAAGACCGCACACTAGTGTTTATAAAAAGCAAAGCCAACACAATCTAATAGATATTTAGACTTTAATTCACCTCATCCGTTATCTATCTGTAGTACAAAAAAGACCTAAATGATGAAATAAAGCAGATAGAAGAAGAAGCATTGGTATCAAATAACTAACTATCCCATAACATTTATCAGGAAGATCAGTAAAGGTTAGTGGTAGAGCGCTGCAATTTACGAATGTGTGGCATGCGATTCGATTGTGCTGTCAAATTTATGATGTTACAGGACTGGACTATACTAACTCCAAGCTTAGAAATACTGAGTGAAGTGGTAGAGCACGTTGACCGCTTCACTTATTTCGGAAGTTGCATCACCCAGAGCCAACGGGTTGATCAATGACGCGATCTCACCACGGATACAGAGGGTTGGTTTCGCATATGCAAGTTGATTCCGTCTCTGGTTTAGTAGACGTGAATTCCGGCTGGCTCTCCGTGTGTACTGCTCAGCAGTCCTCTTCGTCCTCTCTGATGGCCTTTGAGAGAGGAAGACATGAAAAGATTAGCTCTTTGATCACAGATGCCTGTGTTCTATCTCCCGTGTGTTAGGTGGTGGTATAATGGATCGAGTCCCAGTGGCTTACTGATCTACGAGCTCGCTAGCCTTGTAACCAGAAGGTCCTGGGGTTCAAACCACGCAGTGGCATGCGTGCCGCCTACTGCTGATAAAGAGTTCCAAACTAGGGACTAATGAAACAGCTGTCCAGTACTCTCAGGTGGTGGTTTACCAATGCTTCTCTAACCAATATCAGCTAATGATGAAATCCTGTAACCAATCAATCACAGCTCTAGAAACCAACACGTGAAAAAAATAAAAATAATTATGATACACACAAGTATAACGCCTAACTAACTAACTACAAAATATTTTCATAGAAAGCATAAAAATTAATTTTCAAGTATTGGTTTTGTAGGGATTTATTTTGATTGCATGGAGAATTTAATCATGAGCTGACATCAGTTAGAGAACCACTGGAAAACTTGGGAGTACTGGACAGCTGTTTCGTCCTAGTTTGGGACTCTTCAGCGTCCCAGTGGCTCAATGGTCTACGAGCTCGCCTTGTAACCAGAAGGTCCTGGGTTCGAATCCCGGTGGATGCGTACTGATGAAGAGTCCCAAACTAGGACGAAACAGCTGTCCAGTACTCCCAGGTTTTCCAGTGGTCCTCTAACTGATGTCAGCTTATGATTAAATCCTCCATGCGATAAAAATTAATTATTTTCTTTTTTAACACTCAACAACATCTATATCTCTTTCTTCTTTTTTTACATCTTTAACAAATAATAATATTTCAGTCTTATTTACTAACTTATTTCTGTTTTAAAAGCAAAACAAAAAGGTTAACATAGTGGATTGAGAAAATGAGTGAATAAGCATCATCTAAGCATTATCTAATGATGAAAATAATAATGAAAATACACAGTCTGAATTCTTTAATGGTATGTTGTTTAGTGGTTCAGTGGTGGAAAATATTGTAAAAAAACAGAGAGAGAAACAAGAGTATGTCCTCAAAACGCACAAATACACACACACGTACACACAATCTACGTACCTACATGCATACATATATATGTAGATAGTTTTAAAACAATGTTTTTCAAAGATAACAAAAATTATCACATCAGGTCAATATATGCACACACATATAAGAAGTAGATGCTTCACAGAGAGAGACACAGAGAGAGACAAAGATGACGACAAAATTCTCTACTCCTACTACACAAAATGAGAATGCACAATCCTCAGTTAACCAGAAAGGCTTATTGATCAGGACTAATTAGTGATGATAAAAATAATAAACACTGATGGATGCTTGTTCTACACTCAAAAAATATTATTGTTTTGTTATGTTTGTTTTTGCTTGTGTTTCAGTTTTTTTTTGCACTCTAGAAATACTGGCAAAGATATACATGTATAATTAGACAAGAATTTATTTATAGTTACACCATAAGCTATACTTACATTTTAATAGTTAGCTATAAACGTGGACTAGTCAAGACTCTGTACTATAGAGTGAGGAGAATATGCTCTGCATAGGGCATCAGCTGCGGCGTTCCCATTGCGTTCGATTCTCCGCTAGAGTTTTCACCTGGCTCCAAGTCTGCCCACATGCTTTCATATGACCTCCTCCATGTCACCCCACCCTCGAAATGACGACCAACTCGCCGCCTCCCTTTCGGGTTCCAATCGAGCAACGGCCTGTCTAGTGGTGTCACTTGATGGTTTATTTTCTCAAAGTATGGTCAATCCATCTCCATTTCTTTCTGCTTATTTGTTTCACAATCGGTTCCTGCTGGGTTGGTTTGCTTGCGGAGATCCCTGTTGCTGATCTTATCTGTCCAGCCATG